CTCACTCAGCTCTTGAAGGATGCCTGCATTCCTTCCCAAGTGGCCCCCTCCATCTTCAAACCAGCACGGTGAGTAGAGTCCTTCTCATATTTTGAATGTCCCTAACTTCTGCCCCACAGCTTTTTGATTCCTCTTGTTGCTGGAGATGAGAGTATCTTTATATGGTACCAGGAGGCCCTCTTTCATTACACAGTTATTTAAATTGGTGATTAATTACTCACCAGTAACTTATCATTATGTGTCTCCAAAACAATGACAGCCCTTAGCAAGAGCCATTGGATTTCCTAGTCAGTATAATCACTACTTTCCCCAAACCTCTCAAATGCCTGAGATATTGCACTTGCCAAATGTATTCCCTTGTGCAGTATCCCATTCCAGTTCACCATTGGTGAAAGTTTTAGCAAAAACTCTACTATAGCATGGCAGGGGCTATCCCTACCCCACCTGCCACCAGTGATGGCATCCTCGTCACCAGCTGGCCAGTGGGTAATCCAGCTTTAAAATCCTGTTTTAGAGTTTGCTTCCTAGAACCACTCCTAGCCCCAAATGTCTCATGCTGTGTTCCCCTGGAAACAGACTCTGAAGCAGAGATTTGTGTGCAGGAGTTTATCAATCAGAAAAACAAACAAATAAACTCTGTAGGGATAGGAGGGAAGAAGGTTTGGGCATGGAAGAAGCTGAACTACAATGCAGTTGCAAAGAGGCCTCAGCTGATCCTATGAGAAGCTTAGGAGCTGAGGTCACTTTTCAGAGTTGTCCCGAATGGAGGCTAAGCCTTGGTCTTAAAGGAGGCGGTCTGGATGGCACACCACAGCATCCACTACAGTAACCTACAATGGTCCTAGAGTTAGTATGCAGCAAAACTGGGGTTTGACCAAGGAAGTTTGCTTTCTTAATGTTCATGTTATACTGCTAGTAAACACCATGAATGAAGACCTGGAGGTGATAAGCTTAAGCCAGATGATTGAGAACCTGGAAGGAGGCCTGTGTGGCTAGAGGCTAAAATTAGTCAGGTCATAAAGAATGGTCATTCATTTTTTCAACACATACCTAAGCATTGTTTTAGGAAGTGAGGATATAGCTGAGAAAAGCTAGGTGCATATCTTCATTACGTTTGTATTCTAGCATATGCAGGCAGAATGTGTGTGTGTGTATGTTGTCCATCGTGTTAAGTACTATGAAGATAAAGTAGAGGAGGAAAGTGGAAAGGAATGGAGGATGGTCAGAGGAAATCATTGAAGAGGTAACTCATTGGAACAGATACCTAAATAAGGTGAGGAAGTGAGCATGCATATATCTGGGGAAAGAGTGTCCAACGAACAGCAAATGCAAAGATTTTGAGAGAGGAGTGCTCTTGGTATGTTTGAGTAACAACTAGGAGGCCAGTATGGCTAAAGGCCAGCGAAGAGAGGAAGAATGACTGGAGATGTCAGCAGGGAGGTAGGCAGGGGCTAGATCAGGCCAGGCCTTAAGGACCATTGCAAGGAATTTATCCAGAGAGGAAAAGGGAGCTGTGAAAGGGTTCATCAGGGGTATTGTAGAATTATCTTGCTTCTTCAGACTGTAAAGGTGTTTCTTCAGTATCTAGCCGGTCATCTCCTGCTTCTCTTGTGTCCTCTGCAGCTGATCATCTCCGAGGTGGAAAATTATATTTGTCTGGAAGAACAGGGCTTTTATCCCTCAGAGTCTGAATATGCCAAGGAATACAATGGAGAATGGAGAGAGAAAAAAGTCAGGAAATGGAAAGAGGAGACTAAAATTAGGGATAACTGAGAGAAGGGTAGTGGAAGAACAACACGTTAGAAAAACGACAAAGGAAAGGCGGAAGAAAGACAGAGGAAGTGAGATGGATTCTGGCTATGGGAGGCGTAGGAAAGGTAGCTTTAAAGATCACAGCTAGGAGTAAGCTGATAGGGAATCAGACTAAGTACAGAGGGATTTGCTGCAGTCTATGTGGCTTCAATTTCCTTACCTGTAATATGAACTTCATTTTCGATGAACTCAATCAGATAACATATGTAAATCAAATGTAAAACTGAAACCTGCTGGGCTCATAAGGAAAACTTATTAAATTCCAAATAGACACACTCATTGCACATACAAAAAAAATGTGAAGTGTTACATTTCATCATTTAGGTAGGGGGAAGGAATTCACATCTATTTTCTGCACTTACTCTGTGCCAAGAGAATTAATTGCCCACATGGTCCAGGCAACCCCCACAACAACTCCACGAGGTAGGCGTGATTATCCCCATTTTACAGATGAAGAAACAGCCTCAACACCGTTGAAGAAACATTTTTGAGGCCCTCAAGCCATTAAACAACCGAGTCTACATTCCTTCTACTATCCTTGTTTATCCAAGTCTTTTCAGCATGTAAATGAAGAAGGCAGAATAAGTCTCATTATTATTATTTTTCTTTATAGATCAAGGAAAGAAAGCAAGAGCTTCAGAAGTTACCACATTTTGGTAGCAGAGCCAGAATCAAAAGGTAGATTTTCTAATGAAACTCAAGGTGAAAATTTCCTGATGAGGTTTTCATTCTTGGACTTTAAAAAATACTTTTTTTTTAAAAAAAAAAAAAATTAAGATTAGCAGGATGTTAGCAAATGGGATGCTATTTCTCCAATGGATTATGAGCCAAAAAACCTTATGTTCTTATCGGCTGTCACTGAGCTGCTTCCACCTCATGGTGACCCCATGCACAACGGATTGGACCGTTGTGCTCTACAGGGTTTTAAAAAAAAAATTTTTTTATTGTACTTTAGGTGAAGGTTTATAGAGCAAACAAGTTTCTCATTAAACAATTAATACACGTATTGTTTTGTGACATTGGTTGCCAACCTCATGACATCTCAACACTCTCCCCTTCTAGACCCTGAGTTCCCCATTACCAGCTTTTCTGTCCCCTCCTGCCTTCTTATGCTTGCCCCTGGGCTGGTGTGCCCATTTAGTCTTGTTTTGTTTTATAGGCCTGTTTAATTTTTGGCTAAAGGGTGAATCTCAGGCGTCAGTTCATTACTGAGCTATAAGGGTGTCCGGGGGTCATACCCTTGGGGTTTCTCCAGTCCACAGGGTTTTTATTGGCTGATTTTTTGGAAGTAGATCTCCAGGCCTTTCTTGCTAGTCTGTCTTCGTCTGGAAGCTCTGCTGAAACCTGTTCAACACCATAGCAGTACGAAATCCCCCACTCACAGACGGGTGGCCTCAGTTGCATTGGCCACGCATCTAACTCAGGAAATCAAAACCCAGGTTTTCTGCATGGAAGAGGAGATTTTTACCACTGAACCACCACTCTCCTAAGGAACCTTATAGACTGACATTGTTCTCTCACCATGAATGCCTCCTGCTCTGTGGGTGCAAAGTAGGCCTGGGGCAAAGTCTGACTTCACATGCCCAGGATGATTTGGGAGAAAAGTGATCTTAGAAGGAGACTGAAGGTCCCCCACGGAGATACCTGCTGAGTACAAACAATCCCAGTCAGGCTGATAGGAGAATTAATTTAGAAGAGACTCAAACGTCAAAATCCTACAGTTAAGCGGCCAAACATAAAACACATCCACTAGTTGAGGATTCTTTTCCGTACTTCCTCCCACAACGTACCTCAGAAACGAGGAATGTTAGCGCCCAACACATAGGCTATCCAGCTTAGAAAGGCTCCAGCTAAGAAAGTCTCACAGCGTTGCCTCTGGAGAGTGGGGCTGAGGTTGAGGGGAATTTAAATTTTATACCTTTATGTTTGAATTTCTGAAAATCAAGTGTTCGTGCTACTTTTTAAATTTAAAAACAAGTTAATAACAAAGAGCCTCGAAGTAATAAGCAAACAGGCCGACACTGGGCATGCATTAAACAGCTTTCCTTTGTCTATTCTGGATCCGAAACATTTTACCTGCCACCTAATCACTGCCCTGGGAGAAGCCTGGGTGAACGGAGGGACCTTGCCCCGAGTTGCGCCGGGTAATAACCTTAAGCCCTCTCGGACCCCAAGGGGAGAGGTTTCCGGAGCGTTACCGGGACCGCTCAGGCCAGATCGTACGGGCATCCCGCACTCCTGCCCCAGGGAAAGAGGGGATCGCCTGGGATTTGGCGCACACAGGGGCGCATGTCCAAGGTTTTTTGTCTTTTGTTGGAGCCCTGGTGGCACAGTGGTTAAGAGCTAACTGCCAAAAGGTTGGCAGTTCAAATCCACCAACTGCTCCTTGGAAGCCCTATGGGGCAGTTCTACTCTGTCCTATAGGGTCGCTGTAAGTCGGAATCGACTCAATGGCAATTTTTGCAGCCCTGCGCTTCGTGAAGACATCAACTTTTCCAGCGCCTCAGTTCACTCAGAGTGGCGTTCCACTGAGCGCGGAGGCTGTGCGTGTCGGGTGTGTGCGGCGTGTCGCGCTCAACGCGTTGCAGGGTTCGAGACTCAACAAGCCGCGCGGAGACGGATTGCCTCACCCGTGGGATTCGATCAACAGATTCAGAACCACTGTTCTGATCGCTCAGAAACCCCTGCCACAGTACCCTCCACCCCGGCAGGGACTGCGGCTGGGCCTGCGAAGCCCTCCGCATGGAGGGCGGGTGTCCAGACCCTCTGGCGAGTCCGCGGAGGCGGAGGCCGCAGGCTGGCTATGGGGCGCGCATCACTCTTTGTGGATCACCGTCTCTGGGCCCCTCCTTACCCCGGACAGACTAGGAGTGGGATCTTCCGGCCCGTTAGTTGCCCCGCCTGGACCTGGGAACCCTTGCCGCTTCACTTGTACGGCCCCTCTCAGCAGCAGTGCACCATCCGCCGCGGGTCCCTTCCAAACCCTCTTCCAGAAACCGGGCCCGCCCCTTTCCCGGTCTCGGCCAGTGGGAAGCTGGGATTGGGCCGTAGGCGGAGCCTCCCGACCCCGCCTCCTAGCCCTTGGCCAATGGGCGGGGAGCATGGGCCGGCGCCTGGGGCCGCTGTCGGCTTTTGCACACCGAATGAGGCGCGCGGGGAGCCTGGCTGCGCAGAGCGCGCGGTGCCCCTGCAGCTGCAGCCGCCGCAGCCGCCGCCTCTCCCGGCCTCCAGCCTCCGCTGTCCCTCACCCCATTGCCAGGCCAGCCCTGCGCTGCTCCCCGGTGCCACGGCGGGGGCCTTTGCACGGCGAGTGAACTTCGGGGGCAAGTCTCAACGGACCTCCCCAGGCTGACCGACCCGCGGGCGAGCGCTCAGACAGACCGACAGACCGGCAGCCGGCGGGCAGCATGGCGGTGGAAGAAGAGGGGCTCCGGGTCTTCCAGAGCGTGAAGATCAAAATCGGTAAGGACCTCTTCTCCCCTCGGGAAGCAGCGCCGGTCCTCGCAGCCTCCTGCTCGACAGCTGACAATGGGCGGGTGGGATCTTTGCGAAGTCCACCCGGGCTGAGACGCCCCCCTCCCATCCCCCTCCACCCAGCCCCCATCCGCCGCCCGGCTCTCCTTCCTCGCCTCGCTCCTCCCGGGATCGGCCCGACTGCTGCCGCTGGGCCCGCCGGGGTCCGGGGCCGCGCGCCGAGAGAGGGCGGGCTCCTTTCTCGAGGGTCTGGGACAGAGGCACCCTCGGGGCCACTGCGCGGTCCCCGGGGTCGCGCACACTTGCTGCTCCTTTTCTGGAGGGACTGGGCTGAGTCGGTCTGTCTCGGTTCTCTCTCCCCACCTCCCTCCTCTAGGGGTCTGGGCTAGGCGGTTCGGGGAGAGCGAAGCCCCCGGCGCCTCCTCTACGCCCCGGATAGCCCCGGATTCCTGGAGGCGCGCGGTCGGGGGCGGTGGGATTCACCGGCACTGAGGGGAGGTCTGGTGCAGGGCGCGAGCCAGTCCCCGCTCGGGGGTGTGTGCGTGAGAGTGTGGGGGTCTGTTTGGGTGTGTATACTTCAGGGGCCCAAACCACCGAGTGTCTGCCTCTCCTCTCGGCCGCTGCGCCAGAAAACTTCCTTTCCGGGGGAATATGAACGCTTTTCCAAAGGAAGGTGGGCATTGTTTCCACGAGGCGAGCGCTGGCTGCCGAGCGCATCCGTTCCGACTCCCGATGGGGCATTTCCCTTCGCTGGGCCTGGCTGAGTCTTCCCTCCGGGAGTCCGGCTGGCGTGAGCGCGCGCGCGCGTTTGTGTGTGTGCGCGCGCGCGCGCGCGTGTCTGGAGGGCGCTCTGGCCGAGGGCGCCCGCGGGGCGGGGAGACACCGGAGCCGCCAGCCACCCACTCCTGGCGCTTCCCTCCGTTTCATTGAGAACCCGCCGCCAGCAGCCGGGCCACGCCAGGCCTGCCATTCAGGCCGCGGTCACTCCGTGCGGCCTCAGCTTTTTCTCACTGGCCAGTGAGGGCTGGATTTCAGTTGGGCTCCGAAGGGAAATGAATACAGATTCTGAAGTGGGTTCAGTGGGTGGAGTTCGCCGAGGAGGGCTGTTGTATGTGAACTCTCCCGGGTTTATCTGAAGAGATTTGCTTTCTCCTCCACTCCCCCTCTCCCGTAGGTCTATTTTATCATGGGAAAGTGATGAGCAAGTTTTTGTTCTTTTGCTTTTTCCCAAACAGGATTAGTGCCTGGAATGACTATTGCACATTAATGTCATAAATGTGCATTTTCACAAGGCAGTTAGATGAGAGCGTAGTTGATTTTGGCAGAGGGCTTTTGAGAAGCTAAAGCAGTTACCCTGTCCTCAGAATCCTTTTCACCCACCGAACTGGATTTCGTATCTCAACTTATTCCCATATGGGGAGAAAAAAAAATACAGTTAGGGGAACGGAGCCAGGCACCCAGTGACTATTTAAGTGTCAGTTGTTGATGATATTTGATGCTGTCTGAGGAATTCCAGCTACCCTAAATCAGCATGTTGTTTCCTGTCTGCCTTATTTTGGTTTAAGGATCATCACTGAGACACTGTTTTGATATTTGGCTTAGAAGCTCAGCAGATAGGATGTGGCAACACTTCAGCTTTGAGTAGTCTGCCTGCGAGAGGGGTTTCTCTTGTTTATGTGGTTGAAATCTCTTGTCACTTTCATACTGAGAAATTCAACACTGTACTCTACCTGAAATGTCTAAAGGGTGACCTCACTGTGGTGGGCAAGTGAAAAGCCACAACATTGGCTCTATTCAAAGGTCATTCTGTTGCGTTCCGTTTTCTGAAGTTCTGTTCAGTCAAGATTCCTGGGTGAAATGAATGAGTCCAGTGTAGCTGTGTAAGGAATGCTGTGTTTTCTTAATCAAGGGACCGACTGGAGGTCGGGCGGGAGGGGGGACTTGGGATGGGGATATGACTATGAAAGAATGTGACGGGGTTCCAAGTACAGCAGGCAGAAATCCTTCCGACTCTAGTTCAGGACTAAGACAGCCCTCCTCAGGCTCCACAGCTGTTTACTCAAGGAAGGATTCCAGTGGAGTGTTAAACAAAGAGAATTATTTCTTTCCAGAATGACATAGTAAATAAACAGGAGGGCAGGGAAAGATATCCAGATGTCCAGGGAAGCACAGCTGATAGGTCAGTATACCTCAGCTTAACATCTGGCATTCGTGGAAAGAATTGCTAGAGAGGAACATGGAGGAAGCTGATTTAGGAGGAGGGAGGCTTGAAGAAGCTGTTTGATTTGGCCGTTCTCTCTTTTGTGCTCCACTTTAAACAAGCGAGCAAAGCGCCCGAGCTCAGTTGAGGATTAGTGCAATGACTAGAACATCTGCTGTCTAATCCCATGTGGACTGGGTATTATTCAAACCTTTGGAGGCCACCCCAATGTTGGGAGTTATATCACGAGGAAGGGTAGCCCCCTAGAAATGTGCATGTACCAGCCATTCCTTGGATGTGGCTGGAACTCTGAGAAGCCCCTGATTCTTTCTCCTGTGAAATGGCTCTTCACTTGCAGGCCTGAAGGAAAGGGGGCATCTGTGCCCCCACCCCCCGCTCCATAACTGGGGGCCACGCAGGGGGCAGTGGCTGTACGTACAGAAGACGCAAGGCTTCCTCTTGAATCTGAGCGTATAAATGTTGGAAGCTCTGATGCTGAGTTAGAGCCTAGGTTGAGGGTAAACTGTGCGTAAGCTTGTTTGGTGTTTAGTCTCATTCCGCCGGGCCTAGGACAGGGCCGTAAGCGGGAGCCCGTTAGTAGAACGGGAGGTGAAGGATGGGTCCAGAGCACGGACGGATGGTGTGCTGAGGTCTGTTCATTCTTTTCGTTAATTTTCTGTTTGTGGCCAACTCGGGTCTGCCTTGCTTTGCCCAAAGGTCCCCAGCTGTGAAGACTCGGACAGAACAGTGACACTGTAGTAAATTTTAAGGAGAGGCAGAGGTGCTTTACACGTGCCCACATGCACACACACTTTCTTTCTCTTAGGCACACACTCACACACTCACACACACACTCTCACACATATGCTTTCTCACATACACACAGACACATACATATTCTTCCTCTCTCTTACACATACACACACTCTCACATACACACATACACACTCTTCCTCTATCACACACACACACACTCTTTCTCACATACACACTCCCACACATATGCCCTCTTACACTTACACACTCAGTTTCTTTCTTCCTCTCTCTTTCACACTCACACTTACTCTTTCAGTATTCTGGAGAGACAGTGTGGCCCAGCAGATACATTAATCTCTGAGACTTGTTTCAGGCGAGCTGGCTGTGTGCCCTGTCTTTGCTATTGACTTGCTGGATGACCTAGGGCAAGTGCCTCCCCCTTTCATTGCCTCATTTTTCTATTTGCAAAATGCCGGCAATTACTGTCGAACTGCCAGCCAAGATCCGGTGCGAACTTACAAGACAGTGTTGTTCAGACTTAGATTCACACCAGTCCCGCTCACTCCCAGATAAAGACAAAAAGAAAAGTTCCCCATAAAGTAATCTCAATAAGCGATATTACTACTGCTGTTGTCAAGAAGAAAGGTAGAACATTTTTGGCAGGCTGGGGAGCTTTTTTTTTTAGGTGTGGGGAACCTTGGCCTTTTTAGTTCTTAAATAGTTTTGAAAGCCAGTGATGGTGCTTCATCTCATTCAGAGGCTAAAGTTGGGGAAAATAGGAGGAGTGTCTTTTTTCCCCTTCCTCCTTCTTTGTCCTTCTACCTTTAGCAAATGAGATAATATGAACGTAAGTGCCGAATAAAAGTAAGTCATTACTTGTAGTTCTTGTCTTGAAGAATCTGTTGCTTTCCTTATGTAAATCTAGCAGGGTTATTCTGGACATGTTCTGCACACTTAAAAGTCCTAAACTGTATGTATCTTTGGTAACAATTAGTATTATTTTTATAACAGCATCTCAGTGTGTCATGTAAGACTAAGCACACGCTTCCTATGAGATTGCTGCTTTGAGGAAGTGTGCTGTTCTGACTTTCCATGAGTCAGGGCTTCAGAACCTAAAGGGAAACAACTTGAAGATTTGTAGGAGATGATTGGGTAAAAACCCACAATGAAAGCACTTCTGCTTGGCAGTGTTATTTTGGGCCCGGCGCACCTCTAGGCATTGCAATATATCTTTATTTCCCAGCGATATTTTCTTTTCTTTAGTGTTTACTACTTATTTTTTTTTAAAGTGTCATTTTATCTTGATGAATGTGTTCAATAAAGAGCAATATGCACTGGTGTTTCTCTCAAGCTAAAAAAAAAAAAAACTTAGTCTTACATTTTCTAGCACCAGAAAAGTTCTCTTGAACTAGTAGGTTATTGTGACTTGAATTTTTTTTTTTTTTTCATTATCAAGTTTGTGGAAGTAATTCAGATTTGAGTGTGTGTGTTTGTGTGTATGAGCATGTGTGTGAGTTTGTAAACCCCATCTGGAATTGTGTATTACCAGTTTTTTGTTTTCGGTCTTTCTGTGTTCCTCCCAGCCTCTCCTTCCCACTAATACCATGATGGTGTTAGAGTTAGGGGAAACTGCAGTGCCTCCAGCCCCGTTCCCTTCCTTTAGTCTTGAGGAAGTTGGAGGCTAAAAAAGTAAATGCACTTGGTAAAGGGCGTTCAGTGAGTTTGTAGCAGAAACAGGATTAGAACCCAGGTCTTGAGACCCCTGTCACCCTACCCAGTCTAGTGTTTTTCTCCTCCACACCACACCACCTGCCTTAATCCACCGCAAGGTTACAAATGGGGCTTCAAACTCGTTCAGTTTTTGCCTGGTGAAGCGAAACTGGAAGACAATCAAATTTTTAAAATTTGGGTGATCTGGAGAGATAACTGGAACGAAAAGGGTGATGAGATGAAGCCCTGGAATGGGCACTTGGAAGAGGCATAGTGAGCGCTTTCAGGAGCCTGATGTGGGAGACTGGATTAATGTCAGAAC